CACACACACACACACACACACACACAGAGCTGGGATCTTTGATGCACATAATATTAGCTTTAGTCAAGAGGTTAAAGATAAAAATTTAATGTGTACTTGTTTTGATATGTATTTCCTTAAATGAGCTAAAAAGCATCATTTTTTTTTTAAACTGCTCATCCAACTGTCCCAGCTGACATTTGGTGTCAGGTGTGGTGTAATCTAGACGGTTTGGGCAAGTACAATATAATAACAACAAAAACACTGTCTATAAAATAGGCAGACAAAAAGCAAATCTTTAGACTTTAGATATATCCAAAGTTATAGAGAATGCTAAGACGTAGGCAGGTCAGTACACTCAGCAGGAAAATCATACTGAGCATCTGAATGAGTAGATATTGACTAAGCAGCTGGCATTAAATGCAGGGTGCTTATTGATTACACAGTGTTAGGTCCTGCAAATAGACTGTATTTATTGGCACATTAGGAGGCCGTGTCCAGAACACCATCATAACAGATATGTCAGCAGCAAGGGACCAAAAGGGTGCTGACGTATTTCTTTCCATTAACATGTTTCACCGTGATGAAATTATGAGAGCATCAGAGGAGTATTACCCATGAGGGTTCATTGTGGGCACGATGCAGTCATGCAGCATCTATCAGACTGAGCTCAGAGGTTTATGGTTTTTATCAGCATAACTCAAAAGACGGGTCACGTGTCCTAAACCGATGCGCTTTATTTCTTTGCAGAGAGACACCAGAGGCCAGTTCCTGTTGGACCATGTGTGCAATCACTACAACCTGCTTGAGAAAGACTACTTTGGTATTCGATATGTAGATCCCGAGAAACAAAGGGTAACTATGATACACACACACACACACACCTGTCCGTACACACTGCACACACCATAAGCATGGTATCTGTTATCATTTTCATTACCAATTGAGACTAATTTGTACAAAGGATCAGGAAAAGCCTGTCATTTATTCCCAGAGCCCAGATCTTTTGTTTGTCCAAGTGAAGCCAAACTGAGGTGGGGACATTAACTAGATGTGGATTTATCAAACCAAACATGCATTTTCCTTGTAAAACCTAAAATAAAAGTTGGAAACACTAAAGGTAAAGCATAAAGGTGTTACTAGAGTTTTCTTCTTTACCAGAGGAGTGATCACAGGACCTACACAGCCGGTCAGAGCAACGCTTATATTTAGAGAAATGTATGTTTATGAAAAGTGCTTTCAAACCGCATTTTTCACTTTTTACTGAAGACTTCAGTCTATAAGTATGTGGTTAGTTTTCCAACAGCCACATCTTAGTAAAGTGGGGGTTTATGATTCTGCTGAAAGTCTGCTTCATAACCACAAAGCCCTCTGAAACACTATGCCTACCCTACCCCTACTGTTCAGCACCACTGATTGCTCATGTGCATTTCTGGCTACTTTTTTGTAATAGTTTTTGAATCTATCAGTGAGAGAATAACATTTATCATCTCAGTACTAAGGATAACAATATATATCAATATAACGACTCACAAATGTCAGCAGATACCTGGACGGAGAGTGCTATCGTAACTGATGTAGGAGAATGTGAAAGGAAGTGGAAAAACCAGACCCTGGGGGCACAAGCACAAGCATAAATGCCGGCAACGACGTCTGCCACGTCGTTAGGTTTAAAAATATACCAGCAGAAGTCTAAATCAGGCCTAAGGTGCAGCATCTTTTTCTCTGTAATCTTTGAGGAGTCTCCTTCTTCTAAATCTGGCTGCTAACAAATTCTTCTCCTCAATTTAGAAATTCCACTTATACACAGCACTCAGCTCATTACGGCAGAATCACACCTACTAACAGGAAACAGTGGCAGTGAGTCAGCACAGGCAAAGTATGAATGTTGAATATCAGTCTGGAAGCAGCTGATACATTACATTACAAGTTCAAGTGCCAAATAATAACAAGATCAGTCTCCATATTTCAAACAGCCCACACAAAGAACAGACCAGACGCTTGATCGTAGCAGAAGCTCAGCTAGACTGTTTTTTTTTTCTTAATGCAAAGCAAGGAAGGAAAAATAAGGGAAAATGTGTTTTAAGACAAACTGAACATGCAGTCCAGAAACTGTAACATAATACTTTGAATTGTATGCTTTTGACAGTAAGATGGATCAAAAAGGTCAAATTTGGTTCTATTCAGGAATATAAGATCATCATGTCTCCCTAAATCTCTAAATCAGTCTCTTAAAGTAATAATGTAGTAATAATCTTTTTTATGACAGTTTAAAATACCAGAGATCTGCCAATGATACAAATGAGATTTTCTAAGATAATTTTTGAATTAGCTCTCAATCCAGTCCTGTAGTTTCTTTAGTATAAATTTGATTATTTTAGGGTAACATTTTTGGTCTTTCTCTCTTTTTCAGCACTGGCTGGAGCCCAATAAACCCGTAGTGAGGCAGATGAAGTGTGAGTGCCCTTTCTGTTTCCATTTCTGTGTCAGCATGTGTGTATACAGATGCAAAGCATCATGCATGTGTCTGTGTATTTGCGAGTGTGAGTGTGTTTTCTTATGCCGTGCATTTGTCTCCAGAGGGTCACTCTGGTGTGAGGGGTCAAGCATGGCAAACAAGCCAACACCACCACAGGGACTCTAACAAGGCCATAACATCGTACGCACAACATTGTTAAAGTGACGGGATAGGAGTACAAAAAAATCTGTTTGTTATTAATTAAAAACAGATACATTTTATTTGTTTATGTAATAATAATTTAAAAAAATTTTTTTTAGATCATCTAGGTTTAAGAGTTTTATTACCCACCCACCTGTGACAGAGTCAGGCAATGTTGGACAAGAGTTTTTCCTCTGAAGTCCCGCAGGGAGACCAATGGAGACACAATGAAGACAGACAAAGTGACAAGAGAACTGTTTCTCAGAAACACAAAAAACTGCCAGAGGGACAAGTGGCCTAAAAAGGAAAAAAGTCACACGTTGCAAAGACGTTGCAGTGGAAGACAAGCTTATGAGAGTACAAAAACAAGTAAACAGCCTGCCTGTCTTATGTGCAGGCCTCATTCAAAGCTTCATAACAATCACCACAAACCGGAAAGATATTTTTACTTTCCATCTCCAGAAAAGGATGCAGATTTTATCTGATTACTTTATTTGTCTGTTTTGTTGTCCCATTTTTGACTATTCTGTTTGTTTAACAAGTAAGACAAAATTCATTTTCTGGATGTATCCATGTAAGGTTTACCGAAATGAAATATGCAGTGACATAGGTACACGTATACAACACCTCATTAATACAAATATCTAATGAACCAATCACATAGCAGCATTTAGGCATGTAGGCATGCTCAAGACAAGTTGCTGAAGTTAAAATCGAGCTCTAGCCTATTACACATAGAGACACTGAACCATCAACACTCACATTCACACCGATGGGCAATTTAGAATCACCAATTAACCAAACCCCACTAGCAGCAGTTCTCCGGGCAAAAATTCTTTGTTAATGTCAGATGTGACTAATTTGAGGTGATAGGAAGGGAACTCAAATAACCGCTTAGTGAAACAATCTAAGCAGAAGAGCATCTCTGAGCACACAACATGTTTATCTTAGAAGCACATGGGCTACAGCAGCAGAAGATGCCTTTCCTTGACCCATCCTATCTTCTGGAAACAGGACACTGAAGCTAAACTAAACTAAAACGACAAACTCAAAGAGAACTGGGGTTGTACCTGGTGTGGTCTGCTGCTGCTCTAGCACTGAATACTACTTCTGTCAGCTAAGATTAGGAAACTGGGGCTACAATTTGAACGAGCTCACCAAAATTGGGCAGTAGAAGATTGAAAAAATGTTGCCTGATCTGAAGGGTTTTAATTTCTGCTGCAACAACACTGACATGGTAGGGTAGAATCTGGAATAATAATATCTTTCATCATTGTGAGTTTTAAATCCAGTAGTGCAATATGGATGAAAGTTAATAAAATTGCATGAAAAATTAAGCATGTTTTGAAAACAGAAGGGTCCATCACAGTACCCAATAAAGTGCATGGGTGTGTTTCACCCTCAAAGAGAAAACAGATTCACTTAAGGAAACGAGAAGCGATGGAGACACAAACACACCAGATTTTTTTTATTTATTTTTTTTACCAGGAAACTGCAGCTCTAGTTGTGTCTGGGCTTCAGTTTAGCTCAATGTTTATTGTTGTTTATACTTGTTCCATTTGATTAGGTTTCATGGCTAACCTTTCTATTTGGCTTTAGGGAAAGGTCAAGTTTTCACATTTTCAAGGTCACCAGAGTGGCATTTAATGTGTCCCTGGAGGCCACTTTTACGTTGTAATAAGAGTTACACAAACAGCCCGAGGGGTTGTTTTCAAGCTGAGCACAGCCTCCTTTCCCCTCTTGATGTTTGCCTCTGATAGATTTTGGCCAATGTTTTTTCAGTATAACTATAATAACCTTGAGAATGTGACACATATAATCATACAATCTAAGTACCCTAAAAGAGGACACAATACAAAGGTGAATAAGAGAGTGGTACTTGTTTTCACCTTTGTTTTCCTTCGTTTCCACTTACTCTTTCACATCTTTACATTTCTATCTTGTGTTGAAAGATTGCAGCGGCTTTCCTCCGACCCTCCTTTTCTTTCTGTGTCTCAGTCTGAAGTTCACTAACCCTTTTAATGACTGTCCTGTTCTTTCTGTCCTGTTATAAATTAATAAAAGAGCTATTAGCGAAGTATTCTGCTCCATCGGAACATGTGTGAGATGACAGAAGGGGGAGGCTGAGGATATCAGTGAAAACTGGAAGGGAGAGAGAGGGAACAAGGGGGGAAAAGTACTAAAAAGAGACAGTGATAGATAACGTAACTAAAGAAAGAAGAAAAATAGAGCAAAAAGAGGAGATTGGAGAGACGGTTTGAGATGAGAGAAGCTGACAGAGTGAAAGAAAGAAAACGAGATTAGAGGGGAGTTGTTGAATAGATCTGAGTTGCACTGACACATCAGTTCCCTGTGGCAGGATTTACTCCCAAATTAGGTTTCAATGTGTGCGTGCACTTGTGTTTTATTTCGTCTTTGTGCATCCCAGCTTACGTACGTTGGCAAACGTCACATTTGCACGGCCATGTCTTTCGCGCACAATTCACTTTCTCTACAATGTTTTCCAAAAAAAACTCTTCGTCCCTTAAGCTTGAGAAATAATTATAAGCAGCTCAAGTTCTTTGGGAGCGGGTGGGAGGATTGGCTCTTTCAAATTGCTCAGCATGTATTATGTAGATGTGTGCTGTTTTTCATAGCTGGATAATACCGCAGAGGATCCTGCCATTAAAGGGAGAGTGGTGAGGGCACTCTGGATGATTTCTATCCCATGTGAAATGATACTTTCTTCCTCCTTGACTTCAGAATGCCTATCAGATACTTTTGCATCTTTGTTTTAAGCGTCTCTTTGCCTCATCCTCTTTGAAATCTCTCCATGTGCACTCAAAATAACTCACATGTGCACGTGTGTAAACTTCGCCTGTGAGAACAGCAAAGACAAAACAACTCCTTCATTTTTCTAAGATTTGTAGCGTATGAAGCACAGGTGATTCAGCTGTTATGTTGGATTTATTTCTCGTGGTTTAAATGTCTTTCTGTAAACCATCCCTGCTGTTTTGTAGCTGTTAATTATATAATAACATTTTTTTTTTTTCATCTGCTGACTTTTTAGTCAGCAGATGAAAGTTTCCATTTCTTTTTTTTCATTCCCTTTTCCCAAGTTTCATTAATAGCCTTCAACACTTTGTCACTAGCAAAGGCCTGAACCCGGAGGCACATTTATGGATATGAACTTAAAAAACCCCAAACTTTCAAATATTAGCTTTCAACATTCATGTGTCAGAGAAGGCAAATTCGAGGCTACAGACCCTCTATAATGGATATGGACCCCGTGGCGCCTGTAACCATAATATTAGATTTTCTGACATAGTTCACAGGCTACAATTTTTTCCACTCTCAAAATTGGCAAAGAGTACCCTCAAAGCAAGCAAATGTAGAAAACCACAAAATTGGATTGATTGTGTCCATCAGAAAATTCAAATTGCAAAGTTGCCACATAGGAAGTGACATCAAATCTCCGCAATGCTTTGATCTACGCTTTGAACCAAACATGGAGTGAAAATTTTATATCGAGCAAACAAAATTCTGGCATTTGATCACTAGATCCTCAGACCAAAGCTATCAGTTAACTGTTTAACTGTAAGTAAGCGCCAAAGACACCAAATGGGAGTTGAGATGGGTAAAGGGTCCTTTAAGATGTTTTATTTCTTTAATAACCAAAATAAAATAAATTCAGACTTCAAAAAAAATCTTATCTGTGCTATTTTCACTTCAGGAAGTGTAAATTATTTATAATGCATTATATACAATTACTGTATATAATTAAATCTGTTGCTGTGTATGATGGTTTCCTCTCAGTGTTTTGGTGTTTTGGTGTTTGTATATCTTGTAAATGTTCTAACTTCACAGGGTAAACATTGAATATGTTTATAAGCAGATGAGCTGTGTGAGACCTCAGGAGGGAGTTGAAGCTATCGCTGTCATTTGATCCAAACCCTTCAGCCTGTTATTGAGTATATGTGTGTGTGTGTGTCTGTGACCGCTTATGTAACCTTGTGTATGTATGTTACGGTGCATATTTAAATACTATTCAAAGCACAAATCCTCTCCTAGAGATATGAAATGCTTTAGGACTCAGATCAAAGGAGAAGAAACAGACCCCAGTTCAAGTGAAGCACATGCCCATGTGTGTGTGTGTGTGAGAGAGTAATTACTGTAATTATGAGGTGACTAATCAGTATTGGAGACATGCTGTGGTTTCTGTTTTTGTCCCCAGCTTCTTCTTCTACATAATCTTCATGGCTCCTCTGTCCTCTCTTCCCCTCATTTATCTTTCCTCTTCTTTCCTCTTCTTATCTGTTTCTTAAAATCTTCTACTTTCCTTCTGATTCCCTTTATCATATCTGTCAAGCTTATCTCCTCTTTTTCCCTCCACGTTCTAACAGCCTTTTAACTTTCCTTACAGTTTCTGGTCTCTCTTAGTTTTTCCATCTCAACATCGTGTCTTTCTTGTCTCCAGCAGCTCAGCAGCCGTACACGATGTGCTTCCGGGTCAAGTTTTACCCGCATGAGCCAATGAAAATCAAGGAAGAGCTCACCAGGTAAACAAGCACTGGCAATGGCGTATGAGTGACAGAGAAAGAAGGCAAGCTGAGAGAAAATGTAAAGTATTTCAGAGGATTTTCATGGACAAATATCTCTAGAGAGAGGAGTTGAAAGAATTGAAAATATCCAGTGAGTGGAAGTCAATATGAAACAAAGCCTCTGAAAAATGTATTTGCCATGCAGAATTAAGGAAAGTCCAACTTGGTACTAGCAAGCTATACCTAATAAAAATATGTTAGTGACAGATGAAGACATTTGGCTAATTTTGTCTGACTGATTTGTCTAAAAACAGACTATTATATGACTTATAAAACTATTTTAGTATGCGTTATTAAATGTTCTCAAGTGATTGATTACTTAAAGTTGGGCATTGACTGAACACAGTGCAACCACACCGGTGTTATACACTGAGCCAGACATGAAGGCTCTCGAAACTGTAGATGAGCCCATGAAGATACTATATAAGTAAACAAACTAAATAAAAGATTTGGAGAGAGTCTGCTCCACCACCAGCGCCACCTCTGCCAAAACAGAGCCAAACACACAAAGCTTCTCTCAGGCGCGGTGATAATTAGAGACACTCACCCAGCAGGGACTTGTGTTCTCTGCCCCACGTCTTACCAACTCTGCTTCTCTTTATCAGTCCTAATTTTCTCTTCAATTCCTCCATCCATTCACTTCCATCCTTTTTCCTCTCTGCCTTCGCTTGTTTTTTTTGTCTTTCCGCCCCCAATGTCTCCTCCCTTCCTGCTGTCGATCGTTCTTCTTCCTCACTGTCATCTCCCCCTCCACCCTCAGGTGTCTCTTCACACCTTTCAAGTCACGTTTCCGTGTCTTTCTGTCCTATATTTTTGTCTTGAGATATTTCTGGAATCTATCCCTCTTTTCTTGCCTAATTTCAACTTAGCTGAATTCTGCTTCAGTTTTTCTCCAGATGTATTATTTATTAGCTCTTCCTCCCTCTGAAAGAGCTGCGTGTCCATTTCTGTTCATTCACGTGTCCTAAAGAAACAAACAACCTCTTCTTAGAGTCCTAAGGAAAAGCATCACACTGGCACACTACTTATAAGTTTAAAGTGGAAGATGAAGTTGAGATGAGTCGGAAAAGTTCAGAAGGAAATGCAGTCAGTAATAAAATCCTGTCAAGTTCTCAATATGGAGTTATGTCTGGGAGCAATTTTTTCCCATCATCAAAATCCCCAAACTTTTAATGGTAAAATGTGCCTGCTCCAGTTTGCAAGATGTAATTTTAACTCTTGTATATGAAGCACTACTGAAGATAGATGAAAAAGTTAACCCACTGTTCTATAGATCTGTAATTATTGATTATGGAATTAGGTGTTTGGTACCTCACATTACAGATATTAATTGCTAACAGGTGTAATTTTTAGCACGGCAGAAAAGTGCATAGGGACTTCTTTTTTTTGTTTTTAATTAAATATTAAAATATTAATTAAATATTGGAATTAAAGGGCAAAGTCAGCACTTAATCGTTATCTAAGGATTTTACAGAGTCAGGCTGACTATATTACTTATCTAGCCAATATAACACACATGAGTAATTTTAACATTATTTGTGTAAAAGAATGCACTCACATGAAGAAGTTTGACATGTTTTGTCAATTATTTATACTATATTGACATTATTCATTCATACTTGCAAACTGAAGTATATAAAGGTGCTCTTTTTGTAGAATTTAAATTTATCTCGGACATTTATCTTCATGCAGAATAACGACATCATTTCTGTGTTTAAGTGTGCACCAAATCTTAATCTGGATTTTTCTATGCTTAAGTCATTTAAGAAATCTGAAAAGCAAATCTGTGTACGCAGACATTCTGACTCAATGTCCTAAAATAAGAGGAAGCACAAAAAAAGAAAAATGATCTAAATGTAGATCATGGTGTTTATTTATAGAGTCAGCAGCACTCTGACTCTATAAATAAAACTATTTAGCTACTGCAGCAGGGTTTTCGCTCCATTCAATCTTTTATGCTTTGCCTCTCCTGTGTCTTTCCCTCAATGAAAAACAAGTTTGATGAGTCAGTTGACTCAGTGGTGACGTCCCAACTGGAAACTCATCTGTTCCCCACTTTTTTTTTTGTCTTCACGCTAACACGAGACAAGTCTGCATGTCAGTAGCACTGAAGGTGTTTCCATAGTAGCTAAAGTACCACATTCTGCTGGTGAAGATGTATGTTGCCGTAGTTATACTTTCCTTAACTACCATGGCAACAGTTTCAGATTGTTACTTTCTCATTGGGTGGTGAATTTTCATCCAAACTATTTGGAAATAGAAATTGTGAAAGCGGGGTATTGGTTCCCCTTCATAATGTGAGCAGTGGCTTTATATAGTATATTGTAATTAAACGTCTTTTATTTATTTGATTTATTTTAAATAAAAATCTGTATTTATGCTATAAGAATTTCTTTCTGTAACTTTATGCATGCATGTGCATCCAGGTATCTCCTGTACCTTCAGTTGAAGAGAGACATCTATCATGGTCGTCTACTGTGTCCTTTTGCTGAAGCTGCATATCTGGGAGCCTGCATCATACAGGGTGAGGACTTACTCATAGTGGATGTATTAGAGATGTAGCCAATATTTCACAATTACATCCTTGGTGACATGTTGGAGTTTTAAATGAAAATCACACATATACATTTACACAATTTAATTTGTAAATTATAAGGGCTGCTATTACTGAAATGACTGAGCTGCTTGGGTTGTGGCTGTAATAAGAATAAGAATAAGGATAATATTTTCTAGCCTTTTCCAGAATGCACATTTGCAAAGTGCTTCATAATTTGAATAGAATGAACACATCAAATTAAGTTAAGAAACTGTAATTACAAATTTGAGTTACGGTGCCTGAGCTGTTGACTCTTGACAATGAAATCTGTAGTCTGTAGCCTCAAATCAAAAGTAATCAGCTGAAGTCTGAAAGCACAAGCTGCAAAATAACTACTAACAAATCACTGTTTGTGCCTGCAAATGCATTTATTTCCTTATTTAATCCATATTTATTTAAATATTAAATAAATTAAATTAAATCAAAATTTGAATATAGTCCCAAATCACAACAACACTAAGATAATACCAAGAAAACAGAGAAAACTTCAACGATGATATGACCCAATATAAACAAGGGTTTTGGCAACAGTGGGAAGGAAAAACTCCCTTTTAGCAGGAATAAACCTCAGTGAGAGTAGGCCATCTGACATTATCCGTGGGGGTGAGGTGGAGGAGATACTGTTTATTGATTGTAAATATCCATCTACCCACCAACACCACACTATCTAATGCTAGTTTGTCTATCTGATGTTTTTATCATCAGTGCTTTTTAATGTCATTTATAGAAAATCACTGACAAACAGAATTTTAACATGTAAAATCAGATATATCAACTGTAGTCCACATGTTTGCAGGTTTATCATTTTCTTCATTAAGCTTGAATAAACAAGCTCATTGCAAAGAACAAACGTTTAGGAAATTTAAAAATTATGCCAACTAAAAGTAAAATACCTCTTTTAGGTTACTGAAATAACTTTATAAGTCAAAGTGATGTTTTAAGTTTGTTTAATTCAAGATTTCTATTCTGAAATACCCATGTGCTTTTTTTTTTTTTTTTTTACATTTTACTGATTTATAAATACTTGTATGTCTTATTCAAGCATTTAAAAAGTTCAGCTAACTGTCATTACTATGTATAGTTACGCAGTCTGTTAATCTAGCGTTACAGAATTATAGTTTTAAATTTGAGCATCCTCTTGCACTGTGTTGGGTAAAATTCAACACTCATTTAATTTAATGTGCTTAACTGTGTATTTGAACCAAACAATGATCTTACCTAATTATATCAAACTAAACTTTCATCCAACCTCTGTGTAACCACAGTCTAACCCCTGTTTGACTAAGTTTGTCCTCATTAACCGGCTGCATTTCACAGCATCACACTGTCATTATCCTACTTTTTTTTTAAAAAGTAGATGTATGTGGACTACTGGGAAAAGGAATAGAAGAGATTTTTTTCTACAGTCAATTAAACGTAACCGTTTAATGCTGAATCACAGCGCAGAGCCACTTGCTTTAATATGGATTAAGAAAAGAATTAGCTGGGCTTTATCATATAAATGAACCCTTGTGGCTCATACACAAATCCTTGAACTGTGCTAACACCCTCTGATTGGCTCATATCCCCAGAGAAGAGAGTGTGACTGGTTCACTTATCTCAAAACAGAGCATGTCTGCAGTGTATCATTGGCTGCTCTGATTAACTACGACAGGTCTCTGTCCTACTTTGTCAGGGTGTTGATTATAGAGCTGGGGAATAGTTTGAGGATTATTGTTTAATTAAACTCCAGGCAAGTTTTTGATTAAACCTTTATAAAGATACTTAATTAAGATATCATTAAAAAAAATAAATTAGTGGATTCAATGAGCACAACAATAATCTGTTATTTGAGTCAATTGCTCATAAGTATCTTATTCTGTGGAAATAAAAAAAAAAAATAAGGGAAAGATCTGTCTTTGGGCCTTTGTCTTAGATTGAGCAACCAGGAAATTTGCTGATGATACAAAGCTGTTTAATATTACAGCGGGCATTTTGTACTTGGTGCTATATGAGCTTTCTATTTTTCTGTGGGGGAAAACTGGAAGTTTTTTAACCCTAACTGTTAATATGGTCGTAGCCAGAGCAATCGTGGCTCAAGAGTTGACAGTTCGTCTTGTACCGTAATCGGAAGGTTGCTGGTTTGGACAGTCTCGGTCATTGTGTCCTTGGGCAAGACACTTCACCCGTTGCCTACTGGTGGTCAGAGGGCCCGGTGCTGCCAGTGTCCTGCAGCCTCGCCTCTGTCAGTGCGCCCCAGGGTGGCTGTGGCTACAATGTAGCTTGCCATCACCAGTGTGTGAATGGGTGGATGGTTGGGTATGTAAAGGGCTTTGGGGTCCTTAGGGACTGAGTAAAGCGCTATACAAATACAGGCCATTTACCATAGCCGTTAGTCCAGCCACCCGCTGCACTCATGGTGTCACAGCTATTCTAACACTTTACACACAAATACAAAACAGGCATGTGACCATGCCTAATAATAGCTTGCAGTCTATAACTGTTCTGACCCAGCCATTTGCAATCCTACAATAGAAATATAGAAGCAGTTGCATGTAAATGGAATAAGTACTATAAAATTAAAGTTACAAATTATAAGCTTGCTTAAGATGCAATGTTCAAGTTGAGTAAAGCTTATTTGCAAAATAAAACATATCTTTCTTTATTTAATTTTGCTTTACAATGCAGTTTTTATGTTAACCTGAGCAACATGACTACTAACTGTAGCTTCATACTATATATGCAGTCAAGGTGTGTTAAATTAGTTCTTTATATAAGTTATCAAACACTGTATACTCATTTCCTGATGTATTTGACCTATTTTCAGATAATATTTTTACTGAAATCACCCTTTCTCTTTATAGCTGAGCTTGGGGACTATGACCCAGAGGAGCACCCATCAGACTACATCAGAGACTTCAAGCTGTTCCCTAAACAATCCCTCAAACTGGAGAGGAAGATAATGGAAATTCACAAGAATGAGCTCAGGTGAAAGACTAATATCTTTTTTTTGTCTCGTGGTTTTGCTGTTTGTTTGGAGAAGGCTTTTTTGGTCTATTGTGGGCTTTTTGGGGGTATTGTTATCACCTCGCCAGGCAGACAGGCAGTGTGTACAGCCAAGTTTGTGAATGTGATAACTCGATGATAAGGCAATGTAGGATTTTTGAATTAATTGAGCTTTGGCGCAGCTACTTTTTTGAAGATCTTGAGAACACAATAACAAGGTGATGAAGGAGTTGCACATTTATATCATAGGTGCATCTACTAGGAGGCTGAGGGATAGCACTAGCGGCCGCCAGTACTTTTTTTTATTGTTGTACCGTTTGATGTTGGTGACAGGTGCTATGCTCACTCCTGTGATCTGTGTTTTAAAACAGGCTGCTGAGACAACTGTCTACACAGCAGACAATAAAATGCTCCCTTGCTTTCTGGTTAGACACAGAATTGTGTGATACCCAGAGATTTAAGCTTCATTGTACTGGAGAAGGTATTCTCAGTCGAGATTTGTTTGAAAGTAAATAAAAACATCCATTAGCTTAGAGGAATGAGCATGAATTATTTATTTCATGCTCCGTTTAGACACCTTGCTTGTTACTAATACCGAATTTAAATTTTGATGAAAATCACTCATCCCTGATAAATTTGATCGTCTTGTGTTCTTTTGCATATGAACAAAAGCTAGGCATTCTGGGTACCACAACTGTATCTTTGAACCCTTATTCGCCTCTTTTCAACCATGTGATTACCTTTCCTGAAGGGAAAATGGTTCTGCAATAAAGAATAGTTTGAGTAAAAAGTCATTAAAAAAGCATGTACTCAGTAGATTGACTATGTACTCTACAGGTACAGAATAAGTTTCTACATTACATTACATGCAGTACTGTATACATAAATCCCCTCTCCTGGGTTGTTTGTGTGTTGCTGCAGCGATTAATAATGTCGTGACCGTCACACTTAACAGTGATTATAAAACATCAAAGACAAATCCTTCATTTCCCACAGCACAGAGGCAGATGATGCCAAGTGCCCTCTGTCTGGCCCGATGGGTACGACTGACAGGATTAACAGCATGTTGATCAGTACTGAGCTGTACAGAGACTTCAGGTGATTTTTGAATGGGAAGCACTCTGTCTGCAAGCTACATTTCCACAGGCATTCTGTAATGGTTTTTATGCTTTCCTTTATCTGCACAGACAGATCCAATATATGTGTGTGCAATTTTAAAGTTGATTTATATGTCTGGAGTCTTGAAGTGAGCCAGTGTACCACACTCATTTTCCTAATTTGCAGCACTTAGACTAATGAGCAAGTAAAGCATTAATGCCCC